TTCACTTACACCATTTGGTTGCAAATAGATAGTCTGCTGTCGGTTCACTTAAACGTGTAACAGGAAACTCAAATTTGACTAAAAGGTTGTATTACATTACTACTGGTTTTATATGGAAACCTTTTTAGAAGTAAGCAGCTAAGGGGAAGTTTTTTTTCCTCTCCCATCTGCGACAGACAGCTGTTCACTGCCTGGAATCTATGATAGCAGACACTTAAAGTAGCACCAAGCTGAAGTAAACATTTTAGAAATTTCATTTCTTTAATTGTGTACTGATACCGTAAAATTATTTGCAATTTATTGCATCATGCCATGTGATAAGCTGTATCATATAGCTAAATGCTGGAAGCTAAATATACTGTTTTAGTTGGATAAAAAAATACTTTTTTCTGAAATATTTTAAAATGTGAAAAAACAATCCAGGAGACTTCTCACACACATACAGCAATGGTGCTTACAGCAAGTCCAGATGTTTAAATACTTAGCACAGGTTAGAACTTGAACTACCCTCGATCCAATCCAAAATGCGTATCAAAAATAAGCCAAGATAGAAAAAGACCTATCTAGCCATAAAAAAAAAAAAATCTGACAGCTTTACAGACTTCTGCATTTGAACCACTATCAAAAATAACTCCCTGTGGTTTTCTGTTTTTAAACAAAATTTAGCTTACAAGCTCTAGAACTGCCCACTTTGTCACACACTTACACAGAATCTTGGTTCTCCCCACCCTACATTTCAGCCAACTAAAGACAGCAGCTTCCAATCTGGATTTAAAAAAAACGCACACACCTCCACACAAACCCGCCAGGATGTATTTTATACAGCTTATTTTTCTATGTAATTCAGACACACCACAGCAATTTCAACCTGCTAGAAAAAGACACTATGATTTTTAAGCCAGTTTTAAATCTAGAATTCACATGCAAATTTTCTGACTTCTGTTTTTTTCCTTCAAAAAGAAAAATACTGTCTGGGCCAACACTAATTCTCAGTTTGAACACATTCTTCTTCTATCTCCTAGATACTACTTTTCCTCCTTTTAACTTCCGAAACGCAGCTCTACAGTGAGACATGGAATTCAGAAGTAAAAGAGATCTGTTACATCACATCCAACAGGCTACCTCTCCCTTGAAAGCATCAGGCCAGAAGGGTCCAGCCTGCTTTCCCCAAGGTACATCCCAGTCCCTCCGCTGATCCCTCAGTGGGTCAGTACCCCTCCAGGAAAAGGTCACAGCTATGGAAAACACAAACTGCCCTTTCAGCAGCCACAAAGAGTAAAGTGGTTCAATTCCCTTATTGAATGAAACTTTTTTTAGTTTCTCCCCACCTTTTTTGGTTCCTGCATTTTGCACCAATTTACTCAGCTGAGCCAACTCACCAGCATTCAGAACACCAGTCCAGGCAGAGGGGAACAGAGAACAGGAGGGAAATTGGGCCGTTTGACTGCACCAAGCTCAGCCATCTAAGGACTCCATGTGATGCTGAGACATATTAAATCTTCCCAATTCTGCTATCCTCAGCTTTCAGATAAACCGTACTTACCTGCTAGGGCACTTAGAGATCTATCGATGAAAAAGCACAAGGAACTTGCTGAGTGCATGCATGTGCTTGTACTACAGGCTTCAGAAAGGGAAGGGTGAATATAATAAAGACAACATCAACAGGACTTAGTAACAGAAGAAACTATTTTCAGGCCCTCTGCCTTTAAGAGGACAAAGTGTTAATTCTGTCCATTTTATACAGCCTTTAACTTCCACATGATTTTATACTGGGAAAGGCCATTTTGTCCAGTCCACAGAGCATGGCATGGATGCACACATGCCTCCTCTGCCACCATGCCTGTCCTGGAACCAGCAACAGAGTGGGTCACTCTTTTCCTGCCAGAAGCCACATTTTCAGGGTCTTCAGTGATAAGTAGTATCAAGGCAGTCATGAACTGTATTTCAACCCCAGGAATATTTAGTGTTTGCTTTCAATATTGCAAGAATGTATCCAGTATAAATGCAAGATAAACAAAGACATATATCAACATTTCCTACAAACAACCCAGTCAACACCTGGATAGGTGTACACTGAATTAGTCACCACCATTCCCACAGAAGGTAAAACAGAATGGTTAAGTGAGTTTCCAAGGTAAATGCAGGAGTGTGTGTCACAGGCAGAATGGTTATTCATAGCCCCCTTAACCATAACTCTGTGCTCAAACCATACAGAGCATCGTGGCCACTGTGTGTCCACGTGGGTGCTGAACTGCAGCAATACTGAGGAAGTTGCAGTTAACAACAACATGCTCATTTGACGGTAAAGATGAGCCCAACTTCTAAAATGAGATTCCATGTATTTATTTTTCTCATTTGCTAGAAATCACCATGAACAACCTCTTCTATAACAAGAACTAAAACACGAGTTGGGCCCTTAAACTCATTTTCTGTAAGGACTGTATCCCATCAAGGCTTTCATTTAAGACAAAACAAAAGTCAGGACCCAGAAGTCAGACTGATGCCCACTTCCATAATTTCATTTCTGAAATCTTCCCCTAGTACTTCCTCTTCTCCTCCAGCAACATACAGTCAATTTTCTTCCTTTAAATTCAGAATTAATACATTTGATTTCTACCGCCTGTCCCACTTGTTGGCTGCTCCAGTTCACACAGTCTAGTCTGGACTGCCGTGTTGTTTGCTGTGTACACAGTTTTCATAGCCCTGAGCTTAAATATATTTGGCACCACATAAAGTAGGAGATGATGTCAAAGTACATCCACTAATTCATCTTCTACACATCTATAAAGTGTGTTTGTTCTGAAGGTGTGCAGGAGGTGGACTTGCTGGTAACTATCCCCATTTTACAGCTAAGAAAGCAGAGGTAGAGCAGGAGAAAAACCCACACGGGCATTTCTGGCTCTTCTCCCCATACAAAGAAATTACTCATTTTACTCTGAGTAAACAACCATTGATAGATCATTCAGTACACAAAAAACTCTTTAAAGCCATTGAAAGAGGCCTTCAGACCAAGAGGTAGGTCTGAATAAAGCCCAAAAGCATACTAAAGATAAATCTCAGAATCTCCCACTATTTTCTGCAGTAGAGCCTCGATTATTAAGAGAAATGAGAACAGTCGGGGTAGGCTCAATACTTTCAACGTACATTATTGACATAAAACTTTTTGGGTAGTATCACAGAAGGCAAGTACTGCAGAAATATCTGTTTCCCAGTGTGGGCTTGGAGCCCAAGTTATTGATCTCTACCTGCTTTTCTCCCAACAAAATAAATACTGAGGAATTTGAGAAGTTATATTAGGATTCATATTCCAATTATGTGTCCGGCCTCTCCATTAAAACAAGTATTTGTCGAAAAACAGAATTCCAGAGGAAGGAAGGAAACTGAAGCAAGCAGAAGTGTTTTATATGTCGCAGGTGTTAAGAAACCAAAAGGTCGATTCTGTTCTGACAATTCCTTTGGGGTGACAGCAGTCACTCACACTCCATCTAGAAATCTCACTTCCCACAGAAGATGCTCTTTTTCCACCATAATAAAAGTTCCTCCCAGCTCCCATTTTTTTAGGTCTCTAAGGCACAGAGCCATAGGAAACAGGGGCAGCAACACTCTTATCTAAAAGAAGTTCCTTTTTTTTTTTTTCCCCTCATTTTTTTTTCTGTTGTTGCTTAAAAGAATATGACTGTCACAAAGAATGTCGACAGGAAAGAAATAACAGTGGAAAGAGTTTGACTCAATGTCAAGAGATGTCTCAAAATGTAAAAACTGTAGAAATGTTGCAGAAGTTAAACGCTTGCTTACAATGATTCACAAAAATGAACTTTTAAAGGAGACACAGAAATGACAGCAAGGCAGTCATAATGTGTCAGGAACTTGCATCACTGGACTTCTAATTGCTACAATATTTCCTATCAAACTACTTATACTGCAATAACGCCATAGGCAATCACCATTGGCAGAAATATTCCGTGTGTGCGAACAGACAGACAAACAGATGGAGCTCAGAAATGCACCATTATTCTAAACAAGCATAAATCACACTTTGGAGGGAATAACATGTTGGGAGAGAAAAAAAATTGGTATTTTATAGTTCAGCTCGAACATGTGCTCTCTCAAAAGCAATGTGTTAATCCCTAAAGCGCTGGGTTTATCTCAGAGTTCCTGTCTTTCGAGATTGCACAAAAGAGAGCACCCCGAGAGCAGCACGCTCCTCTCCCGGGGGAACAGGCTCGGGAGACCCCAAGGGAGGAGCAGCCGGGGAGGGGCCCAGCCCAGCAGCTCCCGGAGACCCCGGGGCTCTCGCCACCAGCCCCCGGAGCTGCCGGAGTGGCCCAGGGAGGCGGCGAGTCAGGGAAAAGCAGAGCCCGGGCTCGCCGGCGGGGCAGCGACACTCGGAGGGGGACGCGCGGGGCGCTGGCATGGGAACCGCTCCGCCGGGGCATGTGTGCTTGGCAGCGCTGCTGCTTTCCATGTGGAAAAAAAAAAAAAAAAAAAAAAAAAAAAAAAAAAGCACCCAAAAAAACCCACCACCAAAACCCTCCCCAAAAAACTCTGCGATGGCACCAACCCACACAAACACTCGTATCCTCGTAATAGTTTTAACTTTGCTCGAATCTTCACGCGGCCCCTCCCCGACAGGAGCCGGTGGGGACCCGCCACCCTCACCGCTCCGGGGCCATTCCCGCTCACGGCGCCGGGGCCGGCGGCGCGGCAGCCCCGGTAAGACGGCAGGCCACGAGGCGCCGCGGCCCGGTCCCCGCGCCGGGACTGCTGCCCGCCCGCCCGCCCGCCCCTCAGCGGCCCCGGCCCCGCCGTCGCCCGCCCTTCCTCCCCCCCCAGCCCTCACTCGACCTGCGGCCCGGGGCTGCCCGGGGTTGGGGGGCGGCGGAGTCGCGGCAGCCGCGGCTGAGGGGCCGCGCAGCGCAGGGGCCCGCGGCGGGCACACCCCCGGCACGGCAGAGCGCGGCGCGGCCCGTCCGCGGCCCTCGGGGCCCTGTCGTGCTCACCTGCGGCCGGCGAGGCGGCGGAGAAGCGCCGGTGCCCGTCCCGGAGCGGGGGAGTGTGGGGAGGGGTGCGGGATGCGGAGGGGAGGGGGGGGGGGATGTGGGGAGGGGCCCAGGCGGCCGCGGCCCCCACAGCGAGAAGCGGAGCCGGCGCCGCGTCCCGCAGACAACTTCGCCGCGCGCGCGCCCGGCCGCCCCGCGCACGCGCTGCCCGCCGCCGCTCGGGCGCGCGCCCCGCCGGCTGCCACGCAGGCCGGGCGGGCCGGGCGCGCGCGCGGGGGGGGGGGGGGGGGGAGGGGGCGGGGCCGCGCCGCGCCGCGCTCTGCCCACCTGCGCGAGCCGCCAGCACCGCGCCCGCGGGCCCGCGGCCGGGGTCCCGCTGCTCGGCGGCGGGAGGCGGGGGAGTGGGTGTTTTGTTTTGGTTTTTGTTTTGTTTTGTTTTGTTTTTTTTTTCCATCTCCCGCTGCGCGTCAGCGCCGGAGCCCGGCGCTCGCCGCCGCGGCCTTTCCCTTTCCTCCCCCGGAAAACGGCGGTTTCCCCGCGCCCCGCGCGTCGGAAGAAATGCCCGCGGCTCCCCGCCCTGACAACCGGCACGGCGCCTGCTCGCGGGGTTTCCCGTTCCTCGCTGCAGACCCGCGGCCCCGGGCTCGGGCCGCTCCCACCGGGCGTGGGGGGGGGGGCCGCGCCGTTCGGGGCCCGGGTGCTGCCTGGCCGGTGCAGCCGGTGCGTTTCCCACCCGCGGGCACGTACCGAAAGGGCCGCACGTGGGTGTTTTTGCAGGAATCGGGATCCAGCGCCGAAATACCCTCAGCGTTTCAGAGGGAAAAGCCTGAAGTCACAAATTTTTGTGTTTTGCAGACGAAGGCAAATGTTAGCACTTGGTATGTTTCAGCTGAATTTGAACTTGAAATTCAACCGGGTTTTTTACAAGGGAACAAAAACCTGAAAGTGAACTTCACAATAAATAAAATCGAAACTAGCAAGTCTCGTCTAATTGCCTAAGCGGGGCGAAAGGCGCTCGGTAGCAGCGTATCTGGTGAGAAATGCGATTGCTCATATTTTGTCAACTTTCGTACTCCAAGGCCTCGCTCCATCAGAAGGTGTTTGCTGGTACGACTGGGAAACTCCTAGTGCTGTCATAGCAGAAAGTGCTAATGCCAGCACGGCTTAGAGCAGTTCAGCAAATGAAACAAGCTAGGCAAGCAAAAGCACCTTTTGCCAGTATAACTTAATTTCTACTCAGCCCTTTGCCAGTTAAAAAGCATAATTTTCTTTTTTTTTTTTTTTTTAAGTCAACCGTCTAAGGAAGACTAGTTGAATTGCTGTACACGGTTCATGTGGGGCAATCACAGCCCCCACAGCGGCTGGGATGGGAAGGCAGGTCCGGGGGAGGGAGTTCACCAGGACTAACAGCGGGCACCCCGCCCGAAACCGTGCCCTGTTCTTCGGGGCATGATTGGCGGTTTCACCCCACTTGTCCTTTGCCTTGGCCATAGCGCGTTTCCAGATCCCCTCCAGAACCCTTGCCGCCGCGCTGAGCTGCACAGAGGAGCCCAGCGGGCACCACGACCTCCCCAAGAGCCCCGCACGCCGGGCGTTCGCGTTCCCCGGGAGCAGCAGGGCAAGGCCCGTTCTGCGCTCTCTGTGTTACCCTCACGAACACACAGCCCGCGCGAGCTGCAACGCTCGGTGCTGCGTCTCCTCTCTCTCCACTGATTGCATCACCTACACCTACACCAAGAGCTGTGCAGAACCTGCTACCAAAGACATTTTGGTTCAAATAAGTCACTTTTTCCAGCAGGCTCCACTCACGTAGCTTAAGCTCCAAAGGAAGTCTCAGGTTTTGCAGAACCTGAAAAGTCATGGCAGGTCTTTGCTCAAATGGCACTGTTTATCCATCAAAACTCCTACTTTTAGGAAATTCTTGCTTAAGCAGTGCCACCTCTGGCATCCAGAGAGACAAGAAGCTGGAGCAAACATTTGCAGGATATTCAGGAGGTTTTGCAAGATTTGAACTGTTTCTTCTGGAAACGTCACTAGGCGTTGTTTTTGTTGTAAAGTTGTTTACACAAAGCTAATATAAATTCAGTGCATTCAGTTTGGGTGAATAAACATGATCCTTCCAGGGGCTCAAGTTTCTGATAGGTCTCACATTTAAGATACTGTAAAACTAGATTCTCCCTGAGCACTTCTGATAGCGTAAAGAGTTTTCTCTCAAGGGTACAGATGCCTGCACAGCTATGCAATGCTTCTCACTAGAGACAGAGCAATAGACACAACAGATGGAAACTAAGAGGCCACCTGGTTTTAAAGCAAATCATATCATCAATCTATCAGTACAAAATCTGAAACATGGGAAAGTGCTTAGAGAAACAAAATGAATTCAATTTTTTTCCCCAAACTCAATTTTCCCAAGGTCTGTTGATGTACCATTTGCAAAAATATATTTCTTTCTCTTAAAAAGAGAGTGTCAGTGGATTGAGGTAGAGGAACTTCAGTGTTTTACATCAAAACAACGACAAAAAAAAAGATATTTTGTTATGCTGCCATAAGTTACCATCTTTCTATTCAGAAAAGCTGTTTTTAAAAATCCGCTACATTCTTGTGCACAGCTTCAAGATCCAGGTTTTTCATTGCTAAATTAGACAGACCGGACAGAATTACTTTAGATTATCAACAGCAATTCAGTTAGGAAAGAAAATTAAATTTCCTCAATTAAGTCTTGTCAGAAATACATTTTCTTTCATAGTCTATGACATGGTTCTGTGTGAAATTCTCTTTTAAACAACCCCCAAAGCGAGAACTTGCAGATTCTATTTACTTTACTTCTTCCTTGTTTCGATCTCGGTAAGAACAGCCAGGGATTGATCCCGGGGCCCATCCCCTGCGCTGCGACACCTCCCTTTGAAAGCAGCGGCCAGTGCCCAGCACGGCAGGATTAGGCTTTATGGCTCCAGCTCAAGTCTCCTGAAGTCTAAGAAGTGCCTTTTGTACACATCCATCTAAATGAAGGTTGCACCATTCACAGATCTCAGCGAACTGTTCACATTTCAGCAGTTTAATTATTTTCTACAGTTCAAGGATGGGTCGATGCACATTTTAAGCTACGATATTTAAAATCCCACTGATAAAACTGTCAAACGGAGCTCTGAGTAGCTAGTGCAAGCCTGAAGATCAGCCTGCAAGGAATGGAGAACTACATAAAGTATTTTAAATAACTTAATTTTTAACCTAAAATATGAGGAAATAGTCTTTATGCCTCTCAAGCTTTTATGGCTAGTACTCACATGGTTGTAGAGCAGCCACCACCTCCTTGTTATTTACAGCCCACATGTTTTAGTACTGACCCATGGCTACTGAGGCCACTTTATTTTAATTGTTCAAACAGAAGCAAACACAGCCAGTAAGCACGTATCAGTGGAGGCTGAGAAAATTATACAGGAAAATTTCTATATTACTTGTGTGTACAAAGATTCCCCGTAACAAGTCTGTTTCGGGTAAACTAGAACGATCTTGACCCAAATCTTGAAGGATTTTAAATCAACATACAGTCAATTTGATTGATTTACTTTATTCTGAGTGCTAAATGCAACTGTCACTGTATCCTTCATCCTCAGTCTATTATCAATAAAATCCTGGCCTTACTGACTTAATATATGCGTATTGACTTATTTTTTATTTTCCATTTTTAATAGCATATGCTGACAAGACTCTGCTAGGAGTTATTTTCAGGGAAAAAAAAAAAAAAAAAGAAAAAACCCCTTCTTCCTCAAATGAAAATTACAGAGTTTAAAGAGAGTCAATTTTCCAGCAGTAGCCAGAGAAGAGAGGCTGTGAATATCTCTTTCCACAGCCATAGCTGCAGCGTGTCTTCTCCACACACACGCTCCATGCAGGCTGACTTTCATAGTGTGTCTGCAGCCTGCACGCTCAGTTCTCAGATTTCTGTAAGGTTCGAGTCCCAGAGGAAGCATTAATGCTAAAGGAATGCATACCAGCGTGGAACTAGTCTAAAAGTCAGTACAAAATCTCTCCAACAGATTGCTCAAGGAAACACCTCTTTTTTACCATATTTAAGATCTGTAGATTGATCTCATGAGCATTTGTGCAGCAGTTTAGTCACAAACTGATAAGAGTGCTGCAAAAAGAGAGAAATAGAATCAAAGGAGATAAAAAAGCACTGGTCTTCAGGAAGATAAGGCAACCTAGAGCCGCCACGTGACCCAGCAAACGCTCCAGCTCAGCCGCCTGCGGATCTCATCAGGGAACCAGATGTGACCAGTGGCAGAATATCCTTCGCAGCGTGAGATCTGGAGTATATGATTGCCATCCAGGAAAGGGGAGATGGGAAAGTATGATGGAGAAAATGTCCTTTTTTTATGGAATTTAATTGCTTAGAAGAAAGACACATTTTCTTTTAAAGAAGAAGGGATGCTAGAAAGCAGGCTCGGGAAGGTGTCTGGAAGAAGGAACAGAAGGGTTTTTCACATGGACTGAAAATTTAACATTGCTTCCTCTTTTCTGGTGGTTGTGTATTTCAAATGATGAAGTGGCAGCAGACAGTTCTCATTCATTTCTTTGGTCAGCTGAAAGCAGGGCAGGGCAGTACAGGAAAAATAGAAGAGGCCTGTTGTCCCCTACTAGCAGGGCAGAAAATTGTAAGCTTTCATTCATGAATTTGCTCACTTTCCTGTGCAGAGAGGTGTTTCAACCCAGCAGAGCCCCTCTACCCACATAGCTCAAGGGCAGAGGGATCACCTCAGTGTCGGCCGTAGCACTCTGTCCTTGTTCCAGCCAGTCTAACTGTCGAGGTGGTACCTACCAGCACCCTGAACTGTAAAGACAGCTCATGGCAGCAGCTCCGGGTGGCCTAGCAGGGGCTGTGGGAACGCTGGTTCTTCCTTTTGTCGAAGGGCAAGTGGAAGATGGAGTTTTTCAGGCATGCAGGCTTGTCGTCACTGCTTATTTTAGGGAGAGAGGGAGGAAGAGGAAGTTTGCTGTATAGAGCTGGAGGTGGGACGCAGAGTAAGCTGTGTGTCCTGCACACACAGATTTCTCTCTCTGTGCTCTTGAGAGAGAAGGGGTTGTGGATGCCTTGTCTCAGACTGTAGCAAAGGATTTGGAGATGAAGCTTGTGCCCTTGAATTTGTATTCAGACAAAGAACAGAGAAGTAGTGCAGGGAGCAGAGTGCTGGGGTGAGGCCCCCAGC